GGCGCGAGCCCAGGGCGCCCCGGGACAGCCCGGGGGACAGGGCGTGGCGGTGAGCTGGCCCCGGGGCAGGGGGCCCCCTAGGCAGGCAATGGGGGGCCTCTCCCCACATTACTAATGGGGACATTGGTGATACCACCTCGAGGGACGCTGGTTCCAAGCCCCCGGTGGCAGAGGGTGGTGTGAGTGCAGCAGGGCGGGGTTCAGTCAGGTCGGGGCAAATCCTTCTGGAGAAGGGAGGGAGCGGGAGGGCATCACAGGGAGGCGGCCCCCCTGGCTGCTTCCTCCTGAAAAGCCCCGTCGGCATCCAGGGCCGAGACCCCAGTGACCAGCACATTGTGGACGTGGTGCTAAAGATGCTGCAAGGTGAGAGGGGGCAGCAGTCCCTCCTGCCATCGCAGGCCCGCCCTTCTGGTGCTGAGGTGGCTCCGACCTGTCTCCTTCCCTCCCTCCAGAGCAACTGGCAGAGGTGGCTGTGAGTGCCAAGCGGGAAGCCCTGGGGGCAACTGGGATGATGGGACCGCCTGGACCCCCAGGGCCGCCCGGGTACCCAGGCAAGCAGGGACCCAATGGGCACCCTGGCCCTCGGGGCATTCCCGGCATCGTGGGCGCCGTGGGTCAGATTGGCAACACGGGGCCCAAGGGTGAGTGCTGCTCTGCAGTGGAGTGGGCTGGGCAGGGGTGTCAGGCTAGGCGGGAAGAGGGGGCTCCCCTCTACACACACTTCCCAGGAGACACTCGGACTCTTCCCAAATAGCAAGTGGATAGAAATGAATGTACTTTATTAACAATCATTATTTAATTTTATTTATTTATTCATTCATTTCAACTTGACCAGAGAGAGGCATGCAGAGAGAGAGAGGGACCGTGAGAAAGCAAGTCACCAGGTCCAGGACTCGAACCGTGGTTGGCCATGTGGGAGTATCCAGCACTTCAACCACCACGCCACCTGCTGGCCCCCACGAATGTACAATTTTATAACGGGGATTTGGTTTTGTCTTTTCAAAGTTCCCTAGTTGCACCCCATGAACATCTTTCTGTGTCTGGAGATGGGGCAGCAGACTGTGGGCTCTGGAGCCACAGGCGCTGGTCTGAGTGCAGGCACTGCCAGTTTATCCCGTGGCCCTCGGACAAGTCTGTCCATTTCCCCGGGCCGCAGAGGTATCCTCTATAAAGCGGGGACATTAGTAATACCAACCTCCTCTCCTTGGAGTGAGGACTTCGAGGTGGTTCGCAGTTATTTGCTCGCTGAATAGTGTATACTATTGGGTCATCGGAAGCCATGACGCACTTCTGCCTGGAGACGCGTCATGCCTTTCCCGACGCCCCAGTGAATGCTAGGTTCTGCTATGGTAAGACGCTTCCGGTAATAAACTGTATGGGGGACCAGCAGGTGGCATGGTGGTTAAGGTGCTGGACATTCCCACATGGCTGACCACGGTTCGAGTCCTGGACCTGGTGGCTTGCTTTCTCACTTTCCCTCTCTCTCTCTCTCTCTCTGTGTCTCTCTCTAGTCAAGTTAAAATAAATGAATACATAAATAAAAATATTAAAAAAAAACCGTATCGGTCACATCATCTCCATCCTTTGGGCCTTTATTTAACCAGCCTTGCATGGTCACACCCAACTTTCCCCCAGTATAAACTAGCACAAAACGGGAATAATCTTTGTGTGTGAAATAGAAATTAAATAGCACTGTAGAAAATATATTTTCCAGTTCTGAAAAACGAACTCTTTTTCGTCTACAGGAAAACGTGGAGAGAAGGGTGATCGAGGAGAAGTGGGACATGGGCACCCCGGGATGCCTGGGCCCCCAGGGATCCCAGGTGAGACATGGCCCTGCCCAGCTACAGTTCGGTCCCTCAGCCTGGAGTCGCTCCCACAGAGGCCTCCTGCTCAGCCCCTTGGGTCCTAGGTACCCAGCTCCTGTAACCCTGCAGAGCACACAGGAGTCTGAGTGGGGTCCGGCGCGGAGCTGGGACTCTGACTTCCTGGGAGGCACGGGATGCACAGTCACGTCATGGAGGGGAAGGAAGGAGCGTTTGCTTCCACTCAGCACCTGGGAGTTGGGAATGGACAGCCCCAGAATCTCTGTAGCGGGGGCAGAGTCCCTCCTCATGGTCTCCTTGATCCCATTTTCCCCACCTGAAAATTTTCCCACCTTTATAAGAATTCAGAGGCTAGAGCCAGCAGGTGGTGTGGTGGTTGAGGCGCTGGACTCCCACATGGCCAACCTAGGTTCAAGTCCCAGACCTGGCAGCTTGAAAATCACACCAGCATCCAGGCTTGTGTGCGTGCCTGTCCCAAATCCCGAGACAACGGAGGACTGTGGTGTGGCCCTCTCCCCCAGGGGTGATTTCTTGCTTTCTCTCTCACTGTCTCTGTCTCCCTCTGGTGAACACACATGCCCTAGAACAAAAATTTAAAATCTAAAAAAAGAACTCACCGGCTGAGGCAGGAGGCGGCCCTGATGTCTTGACTGTCTCCACACAGGACTCCCTGGCCGATCTGGCCAAGCAATCAATGGCAAGGATGGAGACCGAGGGGCCCCAGGAGCCCCAGGAGAGGCCGGCCGACCTGGCCTGCCGGGGCCCGTGGGGTTGCCAGGCTTCTGTGACCCTGCAGCCTGCCTGGGAGCTTCAGCCTACGCCTCTGCCCGCCTCACGGAGCCTGGATCCATCAAGGGACCATGAGCGTCAGGCCAGGACAGAGCCCAGCAGACACCCTGGGGGGAAAGGACGAGGCCCTTTTTGGGTGGACACAACCCCCATCCTGCAGCCCAGGAAACTAGCTTTCCAGGACCTCTGTCCGGTACCCAGGAGTCCTGAGGAAAGGAATTCTGAAGGGGGGGGGGAGAGGGAAGGGAGGCACCGCAGTGAAAATGTGAGGCTGGCAGACAGGCAGGTGTCGCTGCAGGGAAGCTCCGGAAGAAGGCACAGGAGCTCTCCCCGGGGCACCGCGTGGATGTCACCAGCCAACTGTCTCCTTAACCCGCAGCACTGCCATGCACCCGCCTGTCCATGGGGCAGGTGGCCTGAGGTCTGCCAGTTCCTGATCACTCTCTCTGGACTTGTGACCACCAGAGGTGGCCGTCCTTCAGCCAGCCCCACCCCTTCCTGCCACCCACCCGAGTATTTAAACGCCTGTCTCCCTCCTCTTCCTGGCCTTACTCTCCAGCATCCTCTCCCCAGATCCACCCTGGTCTTTCTGTAAATAAAAGTCCCCAACTTGGGTACAAACTAGACGTGGGTTGCCAGGCTTACTTCTCTAGATGGGGTGGGGGACTGCCGTCGGGCCTGCCTCTGTTGCCTGGGCAGAAAGATCAGGGCTCTGGAAGAGGAAGGCAGGGCAGGGGCACCTTCTCGGGGCACACCCTTGGTAGCAAGTATCAGGATGGCGTGGCACATGTGAGGAGCACCCGTGGGACGCCCCAGGGGTGGAGGCAGGGCAGTGCCTGCTGAGTAACCTGGGGCAAACTGCGTCCAGACCTCCGTACAGCTGTGGCAAGGACTCAGCTGTCCTCCTCCCAGGACAGCACAGCTGGTGTCTCGCGGGGCCTGGCCCTGGGAGGTCCTCTGGATCTCAGCACCCACTGTGTGCTGGCCCAGAGGCAGGAGACGGCAGTGGAAGGTTAGAGCTGGCTCTTGCCTTTCAAGGGTTCCCAGGCCCACAAAACAGACATAGACCCTGATGATGAAGGTCTAGTGGAGGTGGTTGGTGGTGTAGTGGTAAAAGGCACCAGACTCCCACACGGCCTAAAGTGGTTCGCGTCCCGGAGCTGGCGGCTTGCTTTCTCTCTCTGGTGAGTGCACATAGCCTATTACACATTTTAAAATAATAAAATGAATGATTCTTTTTTTTTTGAGAGATTTTCACTGTAGGGCGCATGCGCTCGCCAGACAGACAGAGAGAGACATAGAGACAGAAAGCGAGAAATCACCCCCCAGGGGGGATGGCCATGCCGCAATCCCTTCTCCTCTATTCTCTTGGGATCTTGGGCACGCATGTACACACGCCTGGCGTGAGATCTAAGCCACCAGGCCCGGGACTCAAACCGCAGTCAACTACATGGGAGTCCAGCAACATAGCCATTACGCTAACTGCTGGTCTCCAAATGAATGATTCTTTTTTTTTTGAGAGATTTTCACTGTAGGGCGCATGCGCTCGCCAGACAGACAGAGAGAGACATAGAGACAGAAAGCGAGAAATCACCCCCCAGGGGGGATGGTCACGCCGCAATCCCTTCTCCTCCATTCTCCTCTCGGGATCCTGGGCACGCACGCACACGCGCCCAGCGTGAGTTTTAAGCCACCGGGTCCGGGACACGAACCGCGGTCGACTACGTGGGAGTCCAGCGACATAGCCATTACACTAACTGCTAGTTCCCCAAATAAATGATTCTTTAAGAGAAAAAAAGAGGACGCCTAGGGGAAGCTGGCTCAGATCTGATCTGTACCCCTCCTGGGGCTCCTGCAGGTCAGGGAGGAGTGCAGTACTCGGGAAGTGGCCCGTTTCTTTGCTCTGTGCCTAGCCACAGCACTGCTGCTAGCCCCAACCCCAGCCCCTTCAGACACAGATTTGGCCTGAGGCCCGGCCTGAGGGCCAGGCAGCTGCAGAAGCCAGGGCCTCCCTCTCTCACCATCTGTGCTGGGGCTCTTCTCCTCTTCAACAGCAAATCCTGTTAGTTCAGTCTTGAAACTGTTGAGTCCAACCCTTCTTCATAACCTCCTTGACTGTCCAGTCATTCTTGGGCAAGCATGCACACACACCCGGTGCATTTTCGAAACTGCTAAGTCCAGGATTCTTAACTGTGAAGTTGGCTGTGGGGGCTCCAACCGCCTTAACCACCACGCCACCTGCTGGCCCAGGAATGACTCTTTAAAAAAATTACATTTATTATTATTATTACTATTATTTTAATTTGGCCAGAGAGAGAGAGAGAGCAAGCTGCCAGGTCCAGAACTCGAACCGCAGCCAGCCATGTGCTTTCACCACACCACCTGCTGGCCCCGGGAGTGACAGTGACTGAAGCTTCTAAGGAAGCAAGCACGAGTGATGCAGGGTGCAGCGGAAGGCGGCCACCCGAGAGGACTGCACGAGGCACGCGATGCTGGTGGAGCCACTCGGCATGAGGGTCCTGTGCGCACTGCCTTGGTGACTAGCGCCCGGGCCCTCTGGGACAGTAAGCAAGGATAGTAAGCAGCATCTGGCAACAATGACACCCAAATTGTACCAAATTGACAGCAAACACATCTGCATTGGCAATTTTTAATGCTTCACTTGTGCAGAGCTGACACTAGTATCCGAAGGCACGGGAGGAGGGCAAGGCGGCTACCCGAGTGCAGGGTCGCAGTCTGGGCACACCACGACTGCCCCTTCTGCCTTGGGAGCATCGACAATGCAGAGCTGAACTAGATTTCAATCTTTATTACATTTCCACTGAGGACAGCACTCAAATGTCAGCTGAGCAAAAAAGACTACGGCCAGATAGCAAAGGTGCCCAGTCAGTCCCACCGTGGGTAGACGACCCGAGGGGAACAGCGCCAGCGAGTGGGGGCTTCAGGCACAAAGCAAGTTCTCGCTCAGTAAGTGGCCAGAGACCGGAGCAGTCACACGTACAGCTCTTAGAACGGGAACCTTTCATGCCATTTATTCTGAAAGTAAACATCATCTGCATATCAAGAATTGTAATTTTCAAAAATGGAATCAGGCCCGATTCAATAGCATTTATGACCTACTGATAAAAATTACAAAAATAAAAATGAAAATTCTTCTGTCCTTAAAAGAGATAGAAAACTATATTTTTTTTCTGTAATATCACAAGAGAATCATCAGCATTTCATCCTTTTGACTCTTGAAATGTCATTTCTTCTCTTTGAGTCACGTCACTTTTAACATGGTAAAACCAGTTCAGTATGGTGATTTCTGCTAAGTGAAAGGATGCAGTATTTACTGAATAAAAGAGGATGATTAAGAAAAAGCTAAAGTTACCTCTAATGGGATCAGGCCCACCAGAGGGAAAGAGAGATAAAGACTGAGATTTTCTTAAAAACAAAATAACTCAATGATTTAAAACGTCCTATTCCTGATGCTAATTTCAAAGCGCTATTAGAAACCCTGGTCGGTGGTGGGGAGAGGGAACAGAGTACCTGAAATCTGGTGGGACAGCAGGGCGCATTTCCAACTACGTTCATGTGAAGAACACTGGCCTGTTAGCTTTCTTTCTTCTTTAAAACCCTGACTGGCCAGGCTAAATCATATTAGCATGAAGGTAAAAACAGACTTCAACACAGGCCTGAGCTCAACGGCCCAGGACGCTGTCTCTGCCTGGCAGAGGATGCAGAGGTGGCGCTCCTGCTTCTGACCACACGTCCGGCCTGCGCAGACTCCAGGGCAGTGGCCCAATAGAACGAGCTCTGTGTGCTCTCTGAGGGGCGGGGAAAGTAGATGTCAAAGAGGAGAGACATCGATGCTTTAAAAGTATCAAGCCTCAACATTTCATCCAGTGCTCTCTTTAAGAATGGATTATTAAAATCATTTTGAAATGAGCTATGAAATGTATTTAAATCTGGGCTTTTCTGTAATTAATCATTTTTCTTTAAAAAACAAACAACCAAAAAAAAGGTCTAAAAACATCAAGAGCTGGAACATGCTGCCAGACAGAAATAACCAGAAAAGTCTTCAGTCACAGGCCCGGGGCAGCTCAGTTCTGCTTTGTAGTTTTCAAAGCTTGCAGTCTCTCCAGCAGAGGAGGGTGAGAGTAATGCCACATGGAAAACAACCAGTCGGAAACAGGGAATCCCAAATTATCCTTGTTGAGTTTGATTAAAGCAGAGTATAAGTCTTGAGCTTTCCCAAGTTGTTTGGCAAATGCATCAGCTTGAAATTCAAATCTGCGACTTAGGACCGTCAGGCAGAAAGAAAGAACCTGAAAAAGCAAATGAACGGGTTTTAGCCACTGTCCACCTCTTCGTTGTTACTGAAGGTTTCATGAACTGAGATCTGAAGAAGCCTGGCTTAGCAGAGCAGAAACAGCAGGCCTCAAGAATAGGGGAGCGTACGTAGAGGACCCAACAGTGGAGGAATTATTAAAAGTGAATCATATTTTTATAAATGTGCTATCAATCCCTTCTTTCATTCACCTCCTGGGATTTTGAGACTCAAATCGCTCAGTCGGCCATGTGGGATCAAGCTGCCTTAACCACCACGCCACCAGCTGGCCCCTAAACTGAACCATTTCCCCTCAAGCACACAGACCAGAAACAGATACGTATCCAAATGAATGTGATCCTTACTAAAAACACCAAGTTTTGAGAATCTCCCCTGTGCCGGTAGCTCTCTCTCAAAATATCCTACTGTACTATAGATCTTAGCAACCTCAGCATGTGACTTTTTTCTTTTCTTAATAAGTTAAGAATTTTGGGGCCGGCCGGCAGGTAGTGTGGTGGTTAAGGGTTCTGGACTCCCATCAGGCCGGCCACTGTTCAAGTCCTGGACCTGGTAGCTTGCTTTCTCTCTCTCTCTCACTCTCACGCTCTCTCTTTCTGCCCCTCTCTAGTCAAATTAAATCAATAGTTAAATAAATAAAGTTAAAAAAAGGAATCTGCCCTGTGCCAGGAACTGAGCTAGGCACGTCCACGTTCTCCGTCTCTCACTCCTGCTTTACAGAGAGGACGGTGGAGTAGAGGTTGGATAACGCCGGAGGCTATACGGCTGCAGGGTGGTAGGGCTGAAATTCTCGATGACTTCAAAACCAGTGTACTACATTTTCCAGAATCAGAGTTAAGCCATGGTAACTTATATTTAAACCTTTTTTCTTCTTTTTTAAAAAAACTATTCTTGCGCGCGGGGCGCCCGGC